CCGTGCAAAAATTCTTAATCCTGGCAACTAGCGAGTATCCCGCGGTTAATGGCCTCTTTTCGATCCCGCAATTTAGGGGAACAAATTCAAACAAGCTCGAATTAGGAGGTCCGGAGCCAAAACAGCTTAGAGGTTTAAGCAAACCGAGATGCGCTCCGCGAAAACCCGAAACCGACGTACGAGGCAGCGTTAAGCCGAAGTTTCGCGCAATGAACAAGCAACTTTAGCATTGGCAACGAGGAAACTTTGGTCCTTGGCGGGAACCAGGGGCAAATTCGCTGGTCGCAGTGAAGCCGGGCGCTGTCATAGAGGCCGCTGAGAACGGCCCCGCGCAGAAATGGACGCCGGGGCACGAGACCGACGGATTATTCCTCCGCTGGTTTCCCGGCTTGCCTCGCGTTTCGACCACTTTCTCGCCGGTTTATCCGGATTTTATCCCCGAGCGGAATATTAATTAGCCGCTGTCACTGATCAACGCATCGGCGATCCAGCGAGCGTTAATTTCCTATAATGTATTTGCCGTAATTAGCCGCCGCTCGGGGCGTTGCCAATAAAGAGGAAATTATTGCATTCCATCGGTCGATTCGGATAAACGCTCTCGCGATCGCTTCATTAAACGAAGAATCACGTCGTACGACCATGATCGCTGTTCGGGCCTGTGACGCGACCAGATTCGAACGAAACCTCCTCGCCATCTCTTCCCCCGCCCCCCTTTCTACCCCCCGTTTCTTGTTTCATTCAATTTCGCGAAATCGAGACGATCGGGCCTAGAGATGAAGTCGTCGAGTCGGCGAACGGGTTTAACGATCTAGATCTAATTAGAAGTACACCGGATACACGTCACGCGTCGCGGCCTGTCGCTGGAATAAGTTAAGAAGCTGGAAACAATTTGCGCAATTTTCCGCGCGTTCTATTTCGTGGCTTGTTGAGTACCGGCGATTAAACAGCGCTGCTTTAAGTAGATTAGTCCGGCAGGGTCTGTGCCACGGGGACGTTGATTTAGAATGCCGTGATTCAGTAGTCGCAGAATTCGGATCGCTGATATTTCCGAGCGTAGCGACTTTCTAGCGGCGGATCGAGGGGAAGACAAGAGAACCGATATTGTTAGCACGGCCCTGCGTGAAACGAGTTACCGGTATACCGATGAGACATAAATTCTATTAGACGACGGTAGCCAGTTGGGTAATATACCCGATACGCCAAAGGCGTGGAATAATATTACTTAGTAAATTATCGCGAAACTAAAAGTCTATCGGGATAGTAAAACCGTGTGCCTCGGTTATGTGGATGGAGAAGCGGGATTGTAAAAGTAAATTGCGGGGATGATGTATAGAGAAATATACAAATATAAATATCGTATTGAAGGACAATGTTATACATTGTCTCCGACGTTCTGAAACCGATAGCTGAAATAATTCAGAGCTTTTGAGGACCGAGCTTTTGGTCTTCCTTGACTCAGTTCTGCGTCATTCCTCGCTGTATACGGACGTAAAGGGTCGAAACCTTTTTCAGATATTAAACTAAAAGCGTATCTGTATAAATTGTATCATATCCCTTATTTTCTTTATTTTTAATTAAAATTTACTATCTCACCGAATACGCGATCTGTGTTCGTTTTTCTATTTTTTCTCTTCCTTTGAATTTACAACAGGTCGGAATCTCCAGGGAGAAGATGTCGCAGAGTATCAATGCGGTATAATGTGGTAAATGTGGAATGGCAAGGGCGGAAGGATCTTTAAATAGAAGAATCGGAAGCTTAATGTCAACGGCGTGCTAAAACTTCTCGGGTCGCGGTCAAAGAATCTAATTTCACCGGGTCTGTGATATTTCTAACGAGATAAATAACCGTCCCGTTATTATATATAAGAAAATAAATTTAAAAGACGAGCGGGGATGTGTAGGGAACTGTTGCTGGAGTTGGGAAAAAAATGAGCTTACGCTGTATCGAACAGTGGCCCATCAGAAAGCAGCCTTCAATTACAATTCCACGAAAACCGATCAATTTCCTCGAGCTATCCTTATTACTAAAATAACTCAATAACTCTCGTTCGCGGACTATAATCAGTTCACGATAATTACTCGTCGTGAACAGTCCCTCGGAATTAATTGCTCGTAGGAGATCGAATACGAAATTTCACATAATTTCCCAACAAAATGGAATAAAACAGGGACGATAAAACGGCGGCGCAACAATAAAACCACGAGCGATTATCGACGACCGAACTTCGATTACTCCCCCGTCTAATTAAATGTCGATGGAGAGCCGGCCTTCTAGATAGTTTCGAGTCTCTTGTCGGTTACTTTCTCATCTATTATGTCGTTTTATCAATTACATTCGAATTAAATACCCCGCGAGGCCATCCCCCTCGTCCAGCGACGTTCACAAAGGGGGGCCTTAAAAAATTTAATTCATGCCACTTTGCGCGTCGCGCTGCACACACTGGCCATTTTTGCCAGAGCACGGCGTATTCTCGAATTTTTTAATGCTCTTTTTCAGCCATATACCGCCGCGTCGACGGCCATTTACGCGATGTCGATCGGACGTTCCACGAGATCGTTCAAAATTGATTGCAATGGGCAATAAATTCATTGAAAACGAGGCTCGTCGGTACGTTCAAAGACAGAGAAAAAGAGGAAAGAAAGCAAGACACTCGGCGTTGCAGATCTCTCACGGCTGTCAGACGTGACACGTTTATCTTAAACAGCGTTACGTTCAACACTCGCGGAACTCATTAGTTAGGTTGCGCACATGCAGTTCGCGTTACGTGCGCTTGCCTACGCTGGCTGGCCCATTAGCGAAATTAGAAAGAGGAGTATTTTAACCGCGCCGCGTGCTATGAAAACGCTGCAAAGAATTGCGAGTTTCACTTAACCGTCTCCCTCTTTTTTGCCCACCTTTCGCGCTGAATTATTTCGGCATACTTGTCCGTCGCGACGCGAAATTTTACAAATTCCTTGCGACTTTCCGCACAGAAACAGCGTGCCCCAACAACATATTTCTTTCAACCAAACCACGTCTCAACTTTGAGCACTCGATTGCAATATGGCGTTGCATAGACGTTCCAATATTCGGGTACCAAGTTGATAGGAAAAATTTTCATATCGATAACGTTGGAGACGAGGATAAGGATAACTGGAAAAATTTACGACTGCAAGAGCGACGTCTCGAAACGAAAAAATTATTACCAATCATTCGCTGGAGCAGCTCGGAATATCGCGTAATCTCTAACGACGAAATTACCCCTGGAAAAAGCGAGCAGCCTGTGAATCAGGCACTCGTAAATCCAGGATGATTCGAGCGTCATTCCGCAAAGCGACGAGTCATCGGCGACCGATAAATAAGGCAGAAATCGTGTAAGCCAGAGAACATGGTCAAGATCGCCACGGTGTTACGCGTGTTTCCACGAAGGAGCCGGAAAAAGTCCAGGGTAAAGGTGGAGAGAGTTAAGTGGCGCTCCCTTCGAGGCATAAACAAGCGTTAGGGACATGAATGGGATCACGTAAAAAACAGATTTCCACCCTCGATCTCGTACACGAAACGTGATTTCAGGCCGTCAGCTCGAAGGAAGGGTGGAAAAAGGGCGTTGCGGATTGGGGCTAACCCTGTAAGCGATCCCAGGGGCTCGTCAGGAACGATCTTATGATTGACCGTGTTACGACACTCCCTATAGACCATTTTCCGAACGTATCTTGGAAATACGTTCGAACCGGAGGCTGCTTGGTCCGATCGCGTGCAGCCCGATCTTCGATTCCGCCGGTCCAATCGTAACGGAGCGATCCGATTCGTCGAGCGTGCCTCGAGACGAACGGAATCGCTGCGCGGAGATTGGCCGATGTGGTTTTAGGAGTAAATTAGTCGCGCGTAATGCGTCGTTAAATATTAGCACGGCACGTAATCCGGCGTGTTTACTTATTATAAATAATCCAGCGCGCGATAATTACCTCGCGCTGCTACGAGTCGCGGCTAGATGCTTAACAATAATGTTTATGTCATCGTGCAAAATGTTCGCCGAGTTATACTTCATGAGGAAAATAACGCGGACGACCGCGGAAGCTGTGAGACGTAATGAACGAAATTATTTCGCGTTGATTGTTTCGCAGAAATACGCCAGTCTAGGTGAAAATTTTAAACCCCGTTTTGGCACCTGCTTGACACTGGATTGCGTTAATCGCGGAGAGAAGTAAGGGCAGAGGAGTGGGTCCGTTTGGTAATAACGGGGATGAGAAATAGGGCGTGGTGAAGAATGTACAAGGCAGAGTGTAACCTCTTCGTGAAAAGGGAATATCGTTCGTTCGATTCGATTATATCGTTAATTGAATTTTTCCCGAGCAAACCCGTTCGACATTTCAGCAAATATGCGGAGAAGCCAGTACCCGATCCCGCCAATGCGAGCGAGAATAGGGGCGCGAGTAACGCGTGGTTTAATTCGCATTGTGAATCAAGCAATAAAGTAGCAAGCAACCTGCAGGCCTGCTATCCTATTCGCCACAAAATTGCAGCTTATCTCGGCATAAGTATGCAAACTATCGCGGCAAAGAAACGCGGCAATGAATTCGAAATTGTGTTTCAATTTAGTCGAAAAGTAGATCAGATATTGGCTAGAAATTGCCCCGCTTTTTACCCGTAAACGCAGCAGACGGAAAAGAGAACAGAGCGAACAAGGCCCGATGGATCCGACTGACGAACACGAGCAAAGAGACCCGGGATGAAAACATCGAACGTTAATCCGAGTATTCGAAGAAATAATTACGATGCTGCTAGCAAGACCAAACCTTCTCTGGAAGATCGAGATGAAACCGTGATCGGCTCTGTCCGATAATTATATCTCAATGGATATTGCTGCTTTCCAACTTAATTAATCTCGCGAGTTTACAAACGTTTACAAACGAAATCCAAACAGTCGCCTTTCCGAGCAGCGATAGTTCCTAGCGCATCTGTAGCTGTTTGCTACAAACAGCTTAGCATAATCTCAAAATGTAACGCGAAAAAAGCCACTTACCTTTCTTCTCGTCATCCTCGTCGACGTGATCGGCGCCGTGATGAAGATGATGGGCGGTCGGATGGTGGCTAGTTATCGCCGGCACCAGGGGGTGGTTCCCTAGTGCCGGATGCGGATGATGAGGATGATGATGACTGAGGAACCTGACAGCGGCAGCGGCTGCCTGATGCTGAGCTTGCATAGTCTGCTGAACCTGGCTTTGAACCTGTCCAAGCACCGGATGATGCGGTGGCCATCCTGTCAGATGAAACGGAAACACCGGTGTCGCCCTCTGGAACAGTCTGGCTGGAGTGAGGAGCGAACCACCGGAACCAGTGGAGCCGCTACCAGGAGGCAGTGGGAAGGACAGACCACCTCCTGGTTCCAGGACCATGTTTGGTACCAACTTGACGACTGGTAGTCTCTCCACTGGAGAGATTTCACTTATTTTGCATCTATATCCGTCTACTCCGGCTGCGATCGATGCACTATACTTTTGACATTCGTTGGTCCTTCGATGCCACGAGAGCTGTCAACTGTCAAGGTCGGTTCTTGCAGGAACTGAACAGTCGAATCGTGGAATGCGGTACGCGAGAAGAGGTTGGCGAAGCAGGTTCTCGTCGCTCTCCCGTTTGTTTACATCTTACGTGGAAAGTCCAGGTTAGGAACGAGTGGAATTCAGCGGTTCTACGAGACGCATGCGATGAGATCGATCATGCTCGTCGAAGATCGATAACTGTGGAGTCGCAGAAGTGGTGGATGGTGGTATGTACAGAGGTTTGAGTGAACGTGCTCGTGGCAAGTCGACAGCCGTCGGAAAGCGTGATTCGAGGATTCCGTCAATGGTAACTGACCTTCTCGCCTATTGCAACGATCCTTTCGCCCAAGGATCCGAGTAAATCTCCTCTTGCGTCTTTGACATTAACGTTTCGATGTTTTACTCGACTACCGTTCGATCGTCCGGGTTTCCATCGATTTTCCCTCGAATTCCGAGAGACGGTAACGCTACCAGGTTGAACAAGCGGGATTATACGAAACACGTATCGATTACAAGAGTCCACTTAGTCCTTTCGATGATGCAGTCACTGTAAACTCTCACTCCTGTCACTACGATGATTTTTCATCGACGATGGTCTTTCGAAAACTAGCCTAGACTCTCGGCCTAAGGGTTTAATCTTCGTCCCGAGTGTTCATCTTCCGTCAACTTGGCTAGCCAGCGCACCAAACCGAGAAAGTCACCGGGCAAACTGGACCATCGCGGGAAACACAAGTTCCGGAACACTGACGTAGGGTCACACTTGCTAAACTGTTTAGAGGCTGCGGTGTCGTTGCACCTGGACGCCAGGTTACGTAATAGGCGGCCACGAAAACACTGATCAGCTGACGAGATTAGAGAGAACGGAGTGTGTTTGGCAGGTCCGTGGGGCGAATTTGGCCGCGCAACGAACGGATTCCAGGGATTCCTTGCTGGCAAGGACCTGTTAGTGTTAGGACCACTACGGCACGAGCCAACGGCACAGCACTATCTGCCTGGTGAGTCAAGTCAACGGCTCCCCTCTGTCCACGGAGGCCAAACTGGTTTTGGTCGCCACCCAGAGGCTTTGGATTGGTCGGACAGATGGTGGGTTCACGGGTGCCACTCTATTCCTGGCCAATGAGGACGGATGGATTACGAGGCGAACTCCGCCTCATGGACGCTTTTTTTGCCCTGGAATTGAATCGACGCCCCTTCCTTCCAGTAATGGTAGCCACGGTGGGGATGAATCAATTGGTGGCTGCCCTGAAAGCAGCCGCAAGATGGCTCCTCCCTTCCCCACAGCATTCGGGAAACCACCCCTGCCGTAGGTCCTGGCAGCAGCGTCGACCTTAGCCTCCAATTCCAGCAACGCCGCGCACTCTTCTCCAAAATCCAAATTTTCTCCACCACTTCCAGGAAAAAACTGCTCTCCTCTGGAAGAAGCCCTTCTCCGGTCTCCTCTGCGAGCCAGATCTTCCCTGTTCGAAGGACTCGCGTGTCGTCAGAGGGACCGGGTTCCCGAGAATCTCGCGAGATTTCGCGAGATCGGTGTTCTGGAAAAGTCAAAGACGATGGAAGGTCTACGAAGCTCGATCCGTTGTTCATCTTCGAGGGAACGAGCCCGACAACGTTTCCCTTTCTTCGCGATCGTTCTCCGACGATTGTTGTGCTTCCACCACTCCGTTCTCCACCCCCACCAGAGGCGTATCTTCCACCCCTCCAGCCCTCGAGGGCACGATCCTCTTTTAATAAGAGGAGCTCAGAGCTCGGAGGCGTTAAGTAATTACATCTATTCTCTTCTGGGGAGGAAATTACCTGTGCCTCGGGGTGGGAAAAATTAGGAAATTAAAATTAACCCCCGCCACCGGGCGTCGTGTCGCTGCTCCCTCCTCTTTCTCCTTTTCGTTCGCCATTCCTGTTCGCCGTCGGCTTCCATGTCTTTCTCTCCTTCTCGCGCCTTGCTTCTCGACTCGGTGCACTCCGTGGCTGGAACTCTTCGTTCTCGAATTTAGGAGGAGCCGGCGGCCATTACCGCTTACGTAATCTTTTTACAGTGGCGGCAGCACCTTGTTAAGCAAAGTTATTTAACGCGGCACGTCGAGCTAGCACGGTTGCCTGCGTGTCCCCGTCTATTTCCACGAATAGCAACCTCGGATCCCACCGATCGACAACCGAGGTACCGATCTTCCATCGAATCCCACTGCGTTGCCATTACGACACGCGCCTCTATCGCTTTCCATTTTCCACTTTTATCTCGCGTCTAATAGTTCACCCAAGAAGCGGAATTGAATTAAAGTTTGCCGCGTGTTTCGGCTGACATGTCCGTTTAGCTGGCAGAGTTCGCGACCGATATTTAGCAGAGTATCGTTCATCTACGAGTCGCTATTCGCGACGAGTATTTTCAGTTACATTATCTTTTGTCTACTGATTAATTCCATCGCGCGAGCGGGGTGTTCTATCCGTGATAAGAATAGCGCTATTAAAATCAGCCGAGGAGCAAAGTGGAATCAATCTGCTCAAGTACGACTCTCGGTTCTTACGAGAACCTCGTGCTCCGAATTTTTTCTCCAATTTCCTTTCCAATAACATCCTACTATTCCAGCTTTTTGCTCTTAATTTATCGTAACGAGCGTAATAGAAACGAATTTACATAAACTTTTTTCTGATAATTATATCGTTAGCGCATGTGTGAATGAAATTAACGTCGAGGCTATCAAAGTCGATCCGATCTTTTTACAGTAACGTAGAAAGAAACCGCGTGTAAGTCGAGATATCACATTGCTTCGTCTTTTCTTTGCATAAATTAATTGTCCGAAAGTCGTCTTTCGGATTCGACAATTTATTACTCGCTTCGTAATGTACATTCCATTTCTTCAATTTTTTTTTTCTTTTTAATTGTAACTTAATTCGTATTGAGTCTTCGTAGGTTCTGGCGTGGGTCTTCGTAATTTTCGTATTAGGTGTTTGTTGTTTTTCGTTTAATTCATAATTATTATTACACGAACGTTTCTCATGAACTTCGTACGAATCTTTTACCTCAGGAGTCTTGAATCCTGAAAGGGAGCACTCCATTTCTCATACTTTCGACAAAATTTCTAGGGCCACGTAAAATTTATCGACGCGGAAATTCCTGTTCATTTTTCCCGCGACAAATTTGGAAGTTTTCCGGGCCAGCCATAGCCGCTGATCCATCGTGCAACGTACACCGTTACGCCCACCCTGTGTTCTCCGTGGAAACTTCTCCCCGGCTGCTGAACGCGGCCAAATCCGTGTACAGACAGGGAGAACTGGTGAGTTCCTAATTTACACAGCCGCCACATTCTCCGAAGCCCTTTTGGCCCAGACTCCTGAGTGCCGTCGGAACTTTGCCGACGATTAAAACGCTTTAGTAATTAACTGGGTCTCCTCACCTTCCGCGGTAACAGTTACCAACCCACCAGCATGCTCCTTCTGCCAACCAGTGGCGAGGATCTCCACCGGAATCTACCTTTCCTCTTCTTACAGCTTGCCTCTTCTTCTCACCCTCTTTTCCCTCCCTCTTCCACGCCACTTCTGGCCTGCTGGCGCATATTTAGGGATCGCCGGTTAGAGGTTGCCCGGGCAACCACGTCGAGAAACCCTCTGTCGTTGCCAGGGCAACCTTCTCTCGCTCCTTCATCTTCCCTCCGGAGCTGCTTCGCCACCACCGGGCAGGATTCAATTCGTGAGAGCGAGAACGAATCGACTCTGGCGGCCGGAGAAGAGGGTGTGCGTAGGCTGTTTGTAGCCACCGTGTCAGGGAATAGGAAAAGATACCCCACGTTCGGTGATTGTATTTGATAGCCCGACCGCGAACGTGGCGAACCAACGTTCGACCTTGATTAAAGCCGAGCCTATGGATTCTTCCGTTCTCGCTGGATCATTCTCCCGGATGCTGCATCCTCCAGAGGACCCCGTGGGCAATTTAAAGTCGCGTCTGAGGAACGTCTTCCCTTCCTTGGTCTTTGTGACAACGTCTCGCTGAGCGAGATACAGAAGGGGTTGAATTTCGTGGGTGTACAGGAGGGTAGTTTGTAATTATCAAGCGCGCCCTTAGGATGATTCGAGATGGAAAAATTTGGTAATTTACCCACTTGCGGTGACAAGAAATTCACAGACGCGTGTGCCAGAACTATCCAGTGTTTCTGTAAGAATTGCTTAACGACGTGTATACCACGTCGTTGGCGATTCTGTGACAACAGCATTACGACGTGCGTGACACGTCTTTCCAGCGCAAGTGGTTAAGATCGGTACTCCATGTTCAAGTCCCATGACTCTTTATATACATATTACACTATTTCAGAAACAAAGAATTCTATCAAACCTTGATCAATTAGACCGACCATAATTAAAAATTCCCGCAATAGTAAAATAAGAAATTTTTAATTAATTCTTTTCATATGATGTTTAAAAATTGGAGTACTTTGAAAATCTATTATCATTGCAACTCACAATTCTCGACAAGCAAATTTTAGTTAACATAAGACAATTAAACCTGGTAATTAAGGTATTGATAATATTTTTGACGCTAACACCAGCTGTCAAAGGACTCGTTCTGAAGCGTGAAAATGCGAGTTTGGAAATAAAAGAGGCTTTGAAAATTGGGTAGAGCCAATTGCGAAGATCCAAGGAAGATCTATTCAACTAACAAACTGTAAACTACTCAAAGTCGGTGGAAATTTGCAAGGTATTCCATCCAAGACACTAGCTCCCGAGGCCTGAATAATGCAAAATTGCGGCGGACGGCGGACGAGGCGATCGTCGAGCCGATAAAAACGAGCGTTTTCCCCGCGTCGGCCATCGGGGCTCGCGTTGGTAATAAAGAAAAACGGCTGCGGCGACGGGGCGAATTTCCCTGACGTCGCGTGAAAATTCC